GAAATAGAAAAAGGGTATTTTTCAAACGAAAACTAAAAAATAGGGTAGTTTTCAAAATCAACCTTTTATTTTCTACAATATAATTACAAATTAATCACCACTAATTACCATTAATTGGAGAGAGACACGTGTCAGATGCATAGGATGCCAAATGGCATGATAATAGAGCTTCTTCAAAAAAACCTTGTCATATTATATAAGATATATATATATATATATAGAAGAAAAAAAAAGGAAGTCTTGTAACTTGTAAGCTAACAAAGAATTATATTTATTTTCCAATATAAAATATTCAAGAGTGTACTGTATATATGAAGTGTGACATATATTAAGAATTGATTGTAAAAGCCTCCATTAAATGATGAAAACTTGGCGGCTTTCGTTTTCTTTTAACAAAACGGTGACTAGTGTCTAGTAAGCTACCGTTACAAAATGATCAAACATACAATGATGCACATACCAAAGAGAGAAACAAAGATGATGCAAAGGGTGTGATAACGACATATTGTGATCAAAAAATTTCTCGAAGAAGTTTTATTACCAAAAAAAACTCTAGTCCGCATAATTGGGCGTAATCGGATGAAAAATCGAAGAAGCTATAAAAACTTAACTATAGTTAACTCTAGCTTACGTGGTTGATGAATTGGCACAAGAGCTTAAGAGAGTTCATTGTGGATAATGAAGTATTTAGCTGTTAAACAAAGGCCTGACGAGAGAAGTAAACACAAAATAAAATAACGAAAACGTTTATCTCTCCCTTTTTAATTGTGACTTGGGAAGAACTCTTAGTAAATCTTCTGACTTTTTTTTTTGTGATAAATCTTCTGAAAATTAGAGATGCCATTTAACTATTTAAGTAGTCCCTCACGGCCGAGACTTTCTCAAAATTATTAGACTCATATACAATTCGTATAAATAAATTGTTCGAGTCATATAATCAGTACTTTAATAAGTTAATTATTATTGGAAAAACAAACAAAATAAATAAAGCTACACCATTGTCATAAAGATAACACAACGTTTTTGAAATTTCTTAAACGGGAAGTGGTGCGGTTAATTAAAAACACAAAATTTTGGTAACGTTAAAGATCTAATGATTAATATCCTAAAAGCAAAACAAATAGATTGCCATAAGAAAAGCAGGCAAAATTGGTAGCCCTAATCCTTTGCTTGCTCCGTTTTTCTTTGGGACCGTGTTTATTGGCCCGTAAGCCTTCGTGCATTCACGCACACAATCGTCTTTGGTACCGTAACAATCTCTGTCGTTTTTGATGCAGCAAAAACAGTAGTGTAAATCGGTACATATTCCTCGTGAACATGTTATGTTACTTAGATTGATATTGTTCTCTTCTAAAGCCTCCACGTTTTCACCTAGCAAGAAATAACAGTAATTAGACATGATTATAATGTAATGAAGGATGGTAGTTAATTATGAACAAAAGCAAAAAATATACTTACATGCATGCACACCAAAGAGGGAAACGAAGATTATGCAAAGTATAGCAAAGCGTGTTAGCGACATTGTGGTCGATTCTTTTGTTAAACAAGTTTTTTTTTTTTGCAGTGAGATTGTCTAAAGCTCTTGCTACGATAATTCTCTATCCTTGTACATGTATATATATATATATATAGATAAATTTATCGTCTCATATTCTCATTAAAAATGTAAAATACTCATTCCACTTAGGTATCGTAAAAGAAAATGGAAAATTCAAATCGATGGAGAGTTTGATAATTTCCAATATTTAGAGAAAAAAATTGGATGTCTATGATTCAACAAGTAAATTAACATATGTATTATGAAGAAAAAATAAAGAAAGTCCATAAAATTTCATGAAAAAATGTAAATTTATTGAAAATCAGACTGTAAGAAAAAAAAAATATTTTTGAAAAGAAAAAAATGTAAAATTTGTTCTATATTTGAATCTTGCTAGAGACGTGATCCAAAAAAGTAAATAGTACATATATTGGATGATCATTAATACTTGCTATATACGAGTTTAATATATGTAAAAGATGAACAAAGCTCTAGAGCCTTCTCTGTACCACATTTCCTAGCATGGCCAGAGATCAAGGCATTGTCAAGAAATTCTCATTCCTACTCTTAACGCATCATACATAAGACCATCGCGGTGTACAAGTTACGAAGATCAGCTACCAATGTGAACATTCAAATTGAAGCCGTAAAGTTGGTGACCACAACCGCCGCAAGGCTCAGCTGCGATCGCGTTTATCACAAAATTATCAACAATAAGAAAAGAAAAAATAGCTCTTATCACACTAGACAAAGTGAACTCACTGAGACTGAATCCAACTATCCAAGGCTCGGGGTCGATCATGATGCTTGTAACCGGAAATTAAGGTAGTCCAAGTGACAGTCTTTGTAAGGCATTTGGTCGAAAAGGGGTATGGTGAAACAGGAATTCAATAACATGGGCAGGAACAACCTTCTCTCGGTGAGTCGCTTGGAGACGGTACATTTCTTCGGAAAGCATGTTGTAGAGACCTCTGTAGGAGTAATATCACTGCCCACTAGGTCGTTGAAAAACTAAGTCTGTTGCTACTCCTGCACGAAGATCGTTGGATGGGAATCCTAAAGGCTCTACGTACCCACATGTTCGGAATCCTCAGATACACCTTCAGCTGGGAGAGGAGACGAGACAGCAAGTTGAATCATCGCCATGGTGTCGAAAGTTACAACGAGAACATCAAATATGCTCGCGAAGCTTTTCACAAGAAGCTCATAATAAAGTCATAAACTAGGTAGATTGCATTCAAGTCAGATTTATAATATTCCCATATAAGAACACGAAATGAAGGAAGTTGGTGTCTTCAAATGCGAAATGAATGCTATTGTCAACGACAAATACAGATGATTCCCAACCGATATACTAAATCACACTAATGATTAGATAGTGCCAATTACCAAAACTAGACAAAAGTTGTTAATGTTGAAAAAGGCAAAGACGCCAAATACATTTTAGGTTTAGCTGCAAACTAATCCTAGCATTGAACCATTGACTGCAGCAGTCTGCTCATCATCCCGATTTCTTCAGCTTGGCTAGCTCCACCAATGCATCTTGTAGGGGTTGATTGATCACCTCTTTTTTAGCCTGCATTTGATAAGAGTCCCAAAGCTAACTCAGATCTCAAAGAATAACAACACACACATCAGACTCTGGTAGCTCTAAAAACCTTACCTTCAGCGATGGAATAAAGGCAAGAACTTCATCTACGGTATCTGGGGAAGCATTCGCAATCACACACATCTGCACATAACAAACTCAGCATTAGAAAAGAATGATCCGGGAAGCTTTGGATTCAAATGCTTGTAGTAGAGATTGTTACCTCGCCATCAGAGATACCATGCGTTTTCAGAGGTCTGATATTATTCATAATCGCTAAGTTTGAAAACAACACACAATCAGGTTATACACAGACTGATAAAACTAGTCTAATCCAATGGAGCCTAAGCAGTTAAAAGGATACTCAAGGACTTTTCTGACAGATTGAGGGTTTGAGTAATGAACACAACTATCCACATAAGCCAATGCTCTGTCATAAGATCTGAAAAACAAAAACTACATGTTAAAAGAGAGCCAGAGACTTTCAACAGCATAGAGAAATGTTGTGTTTAGAGATACTAACACAGGAATTTTAATGGAAGGATCTTCAGACAACCCAACCAAATGTCCCTTAATTCCATCTAATATCTGAAAAGCTTCACAATCCATCATGCATTCAGCATTCTCAGGAAGATCTACAAAGTCCAATCATCAGACATCAAAAGATCAAATCACAGAACCAGAACGAACCAAAGCCCTCACAAGCAAAGTGGGAAGATTTCACAAACCTTTGAGCTCAAACGACTGCAGAGAGTTTTTGCTAGACTTGGTAGGTTTGTCTCCTTTACCAACTTTAGCAGCAGAACTCTGAAATGGTAGTGGATCAGAAGAACCATTGAGAATCTTGTAATTAGGTGGTGGAGTCCCTGCAAATTCAGTAAAAAGATGACATTTTTATCAAATCAAAACGAAAAAAGCTTGAGACTTTGAATTCGAAATCTAATGAAGAGAAGAATAAAAAGGTTAAACCTTGATCAAAGTGGATTTTTCTACCCTTCTTGAGCTTTGTTGAGTTCCCATCTTTCCCTCCTGCAACCAAAAACCCTAGAAAGTGAGAAACGAATCTCGAGAAATATAGTGTTAACAACAAAAAGTATAGTGGGAAATACACATACCATCTTTGGATTTGAGAGAGGATTTGAGCCCTTTGCCTCCTTTCTCTGACATTTTGCTGCTACGAGAGAACGATTGAGAGGGAATCAGAAAAAAAGCAAAGAGATAAAAATGCTATCTTTCCAAAAAGGCAAAAACTACAGTGAAGAGAAATCACTGCCATATTGGGCTTCTTGGGCTTACCATCATTATTAGTTTCCTTAAAAGCCCACGACTTGAGCCCACGAAAGCATAGTAGTGTGTATATATATATATTTTTTGTCAACTATATAAACTCAATGATTAAAACTGCATAAACTCACTTAAAATTTGAATTTTCTAGCCGAACAATTCAAGATCCGGTCAAAACCAACAAATCGAGTAACGCTGTTAGTTGAACCGTTAGTAGTCGCTGACTAGGATACCATTACAACTTTCGAAGGAAAACATTCTCGGTTATATTCAGATTCATTCTGGAGATCATTTTTCAGTGGTCTGTGTTATCTTGACTAGTTATGGATGTAGTTTGTTTCGGTTGGTTCAAACTTCTCTTGTATCCTTCAGCCCTTAACTAGATTCCGGCTTCTTTTGATTAAACTCCCTTTGAATCTGAGAAACTCTTAAGCTCACTTGTATATATCATACATAATCAGGATTAATGATAACGTTGTAAACATACATCGAAATTTGCTGACTCCAACAATAAATATCACAAATTTCGAAATACTCCCGTATAAACAATCTAAACCGGTCTTACAGCCATTGTTTTAGAGATTACAAATGAAAGGAGTACGAGTTTTATTTCTCCCTTCCCAAGTGTATGGTAACACAGTAAGTGATGAAAATTAGAGATGCTTTAATAAAATTGACATTTTTGTATGAAAGAAATATAAAACCACTTCTTAGCTCAAGGGCTTTACACGTCTCTCCACATCGAATTGAACTTCAGATAGACCGGTGATCCCGGCCGTTATCTTCTGACCTATTTTTACAGGTCCAACGCCTTCTGGTGTGCCTATAATTTGAAGGGATTCTCCTATAAGTTCAGATTGGTTTAAGATGAGAAAACAAACAGACGGTTATAAGTACATACCTGTTAAGATGACGTCTCCTTCGTAAAGGGTCATTATCGAACTTATGTAGCTGATAAGGTACGGGACCTTGAAGATCATATCTTTTGTCAAGCCCTTCTGTCTTGTTTCACCATCAACCTGTCACATATTAGATGATTCAATTTAGTCCCTGCAGATTCTTAAGTGTGGAAATTACTTTTTTAAGTGACAACAGAACAAGAGAGTAGGGGAGGGACAAACCTTGAGCCAAAGTTCTAGATTATCGGGATCATGCACCATCGCCTTTGGCAGCTGAAAAGCGACAGAAGAGACAAAATTCAAACTATAGAAGAATCAAGAAGAGTTTTAATTCTCAGCAGGATAGGGCATATGATCCTCATGTCAGAAAAGCAACAAGATAAAAGAACTTAAACTAGACAGTCAAAAAGTGTTTTGATTCTCAGCAGGACAGGGCATATGATCCTCAAGTCAAGTTGGCTATATGATAGCATTAGACCTCCTGCATTGAGACTTTTCTAGTCTCAACTAAATAGAAATCACACAACAGACGTAATCAGAAAAAGTTGTGGTCATACCCTACAATCTGATCACATTGCAATCAGACAAACTACATAAATGGGTCCATCAAACAGCACAAAAGTAGCATTTTTCATATAAACTATATGGTGTGTTGAAACTAGCATCTAGGCTTGAGATCAATACTTACAACAGAGCTGATAGGAGTGAAGGTATCTTGTCCTTTAGCAAGCGTCCATGGGAGACCAGATGCCTGAAAAAGAGAAAAGTAAACACGATATATGCTTAAGCACAAAACTAAAGTAACAAACAGATTACTCTTCATGCAAAACCACACATTCATGATTTTGGTTTATATATAAATGGTGGTTGAAAACAATCTGAAAACCCCAATTCACGATCCCAAATACGAAAATCTAGATAGACTTTTCAACAAAGAATGAGTTCTATCATCGATGTTTTGACCATTTGTGCGGGTTTAACCTATACTGGTTCAAAGACTAAAATGAACATGCAAATCCCCAAAAGATCCATTGATATGAACTAAAACTATTTACCTACCTTAGCGGAAGCTTGGAGTTCCCTAGCAGTCATATCAAGAGCAACCGCATATCCTTCAAAAACAAAGAAAACGATAAGAAACGACATTATACAAATCAAAAGAAGCTACTCATATTGAGATTATACATTAAAATACCTCCAATGTAATCCATAGCTATTGATTCAGGTACATCTCTAGCCTTCTGTCCAATCACTAAAGCAAGTTCCACCTCATGGTGAAGTGAATCCAAAGGATGTGGGATCTCAATTGTTCCTCCATTTTCCAAATACGACGATGTTGGCTTCAAGAATATAACTGGTTCCTGTTTCCCAATTCAAACGAAACAACAAAATTTCTCTCTCAGATTTTTAGTTTTTTGGGGGCAATCAACAACATGCATAAACTTTCGATTCTGGATCAATGACAGAGAATAACAAAAACTCCGTAAAAATTGAATTGCAGAGATGAGAATCCCAGAACTTGTTTTTTCTCCATTGATTCGAAAAGAAAGAGAGATTGAAGAACCTTGGGAACTGCGTTGCCTAGTTCTTTGGCGTGAGCGGCGTAGTTACGGCCGACGCAGACGATCTTCGTGCCTTGCTTAAACATCCTCTGTATCATCGACGTCGCCATTTTTCCGATCGATACAACAACAATCACACTTTTCTCTTCTCTCTTTCTTCTTCTTTCTCGTTTTGGTCAGAATCGTGGAAAAATTAAATTCGGTAACTTTTGTAATTTTCTCATTGAGTCTCCTTCTAAACCGGAATTTACTCCTTCAATCCCAAAATTTTGTTTTCTCACATATGAGACCCCAGAACTTCGAAAATAACAAATAATGAGAATTGTCAAATTCTCTGAACGAAATTCCGGTTAAGAATCAATTGGACGGTTTTTGACGAATGAATGAAGAAAAAAAAGTAACATAAACAAGAAATTCCGATTTATAAAAGCTGAGTTTTAGATCTGGTGAAATCAAATTTACATTTGAAGATGCATGACATGTACTAAAAGACTTTTTATAGAGTTGATTCTCCAGATTTGGTTGGTTAAAGCCTTAAAGGAACACATACATACAAAACAAGAAACTAACTACAACGTGATGTTGATGATAATGGGACTGAACATCACAATGAGCTTTCTTGGTTTTCAAATTCTTAACCCGACTTGAAGAGCAGAACAGCTTTCTGCTCGAGGTAGAAGTAAACGAAATGGTTTGTCTCGTGCGTTACATAAGAACCTGCAGGAATAGAGTAATATCGTCGAATAAGTATCGAAGGAGAATGGCAATCAGATTCTACAGACAAATAATAAAAATCCAGTACGGTTTCAGAAATATATCTATTGTATGTTGAGATATCGTCTTATGCGCATGACTATAATAAAACGCAGACTTTTGGTGAGAGAAGAGAAATCTTGAATTCAAGAACTGTGAGGCTAAGGGAGTAGGAGTGGTGCTAAATGTGCTTACAGAACAGTAAATTCTTTACTAAAAGCAAAAACAATAGCATTGTTCAAGAAAGCAGAAAAGACTAAAACAAGGAAAAATGTATTCCAATGAAGCTAGCTAGGCTATAAGATCTTGATCGACATATCCTATTGCAGGCTTACCAAATTGCTTTAGAGGATTAATACCTAGTTTGATTGGTACCAAGATCTTAATCATTTGCAGTTTGGGAACTTATGTCACAGGGACTAAACCCGAAACTTTATCCAACACTAAGCGCACAAAAACCATTCAATTGCAAGAAGAACAACCTTTCCAAAATAAAGCTAGTTAAGACAGAAAAGCAAACAAACCATTGATGTAACTCACTATCAACCAGACGAGAACCAAAAACCGGATTGACAGAAGCAAAATCAAATGAGCCAAAGAGGATAACATGTTAAGAACTAGATTTTCAGATACTAACAAATCACTATCCCCCTTTTACAGAGAACTTTTGTTCGAACAATGCCGACTTAAGGAGATATTTAAATGAAGTGAAGAGATAACTAACCAAAGTTGCGACCAACAATGCAATGCCAAGTAGCACCATGTTTCTTGTCAAACTCCTTCTTTATATTCTCAGCTATATCCTTCTCCACACTATACTTCTCAAATGCCTGCAAAAGTAAAATCCCACATTCTGAAATGTAAATCCTTACAAAGCACCATAATCACTTCAGAGACACTTCACCAGACTCTTAGTTGAACCAATCGATTACGCAATTCAAAAACACAGTTTAATCAGAGAAAAAAAAAAGTTACAAGAAATCGAATCTAGTTCCGTACATAATAAACTTCAGATTAACAAATTGAGACTTCGAGAGCACACTAACATCAAATCGAACTCTAGAGATAACTCGGTGAGTACTTCCAAAAAAATTCCCAGGGCACAAATTACTATCACTCATACCCTAAAACTCAAGATCAGTAAGAAACTCCTAAAACCCGAAGAATGTAAACAACAAATCGGAGAAAATGAGAAAGAGACTAACGGAGATAGCGATATCGATAGCTTCCTTCTGCATATCATCTTTCATATCAGCACTCTTGATAACAGCTCGTTTCCCAGCCGGTGGAGAAGCTTCAAGTTCCGGAAGACTAGATCTCCGATCATCGGAGATAGTTTGCGCCGGTGCACCTCCGTTAACACTCTTCTTCCTCCTCCCGTCACTCATTTTTTTTTTTCAATTTCGTCGGTGAATTATTTTGAAATCAGTCAGATTTGCTGCAAAGGAATAAAGCTAAAGAAGAGAATAAAGCGTAAAGCAAGGCGACGAGTGTGGTAGAAAAAGTACATAATTTAGTCAGCACTCAGCAGTACTTGGTAAAATTTTCTAGATTTTTTCGTCACTGCAAATTTGATACGGCGTCGTTTGAGGCTATTTTGGGCCCAATTCATAACTGAGGCCCATTATTACTGCATTTTTTTGTCAACCAAACCAGTTGTTTCTTACATTTTTGTAACAACGATCACATTAAAAAAACAGTGGGAATCACAAAAACCATCTTTGGACTTGAGAGAGGATTTGGGCCCTTTGCCTCCTTTCTTTGACATTTTCTGCTTACGAGAACGATTGAGATCAAAAGCAAAAGACTCAAACAGAAAAATATGCAATCTTTACAATACTACAGTGAATAGAAATCTCACTATAATTGAAAGTAAAGTAATATGGTCAATTGGGCTTCTTAGGCTTTTCTATTACCTTCATTATTAGTTTTCTTCATAGCCCACGACTTGAGTCCACGAGTTTATATAACTTTATACTGAAATCTAAGAGGGGTGTATTGAAGAAAGAATTTAGAGTGATTTGAGTTTTAATGAGTTTTAATGAGTTTTGAGATGATTTTGGTGAATTTTGATGAATTAAGAAATTTGCTATTATGGAAAATCATTGGAGTTTCAATGTGAAATAAGTTACAAAACTTAGGAAAGAACGAAATGTGAATTAGTCATTTGTTTTTATCGTCAAGTGTTTATTTGTATTATATATATATATATGCAAATTTAATAATATTTATTGATATTTAGAAATTAAGGCATTTTGGTTGAAATAGATATGTTAAGTAATATTTACCACTTAATATTATAATTTTGGGTAGTTTGATTTCGCTTGTATTTTTGTGAATATTTGTCATCTTGATGAAAGAAAGTGGGGTCGAACGAAATGATCTAAGCCACCAGCCTTAGAGCATGGCAGTGGGGCAAGCAGGTGGTGTGAGTCTTGGGGTGTAGGTATTAAAAAAACGAAAAAATTGTCTCTCTCTTCACACCCGGGTGTAATTTTACACTCGGTTGTAACACTTTTTCTCTCTATCTCTCTCTTTCTTTCTCTTTCTTTCTCTTTCTCTTTTCTCTTTTCTTTAAATTATAATACTAAAAAAATACTTACACACACACAAACACATTTGCCACTGATGGTCTAAGGCCCCTCGACCATGATTTCACTAAATTTTCTTGTCGTTCTCTATTCCGTATATATATACACATACACGTATATATAGATTATATATTTCATTATTTCTCAAATTTCAAGAGACATGAATTCGGAAAAAAGACAGAAATTATTGTTGTTAGTCTTAAAAGTTGCATCAACGTCATTGAGGGCTGTGTCTGAAGTTTACTAGCGAGTAGTGACCAAGTGGAATATCTCAACCAGAGATACCAGTTATACCATCGTTTTCCTTTGATTCTGATTACTTAACAAAATTTTCTTTTTAGTGTATTTAAGAATATATTAAGAAACCTTGAATAACTCTTTTAATATGAAAAAAAAGAAAGTAAAAAGAGTTGTTTTTCAGTCTGAAGTAAAGGTAGAATTATGTAGGCACGACTTTTACCTTGGCCAATAGCCACCACATGGGACATGTGTTAATTTAATTAACTAAAGGGTCTTCATTCCATTTATAGTTTCCTAATTTCACCAAAAGTAAAACATCCGGGCTTTTTATATAGGTTAACCTTATAGTTAAATACAATGGTTGCTATTTTGCTACTTATATAACAGTTCCATATTCTAGGATTAGTTGCAGATTTGGCTTAAAACACTAGGTTCTACAAAACTGCCTTATACATTTAATGCATTTTGCTTGCATAAATTAGGGGTGGATACAAGACAAGTACCCGTTATTTTAAAAGTATTTGTTACTTGACCCATTTTATAAGAATAATAAAAATTAGTATTCGTATTTAACTTGTGAGAACGAGTATCCGCGATTTTAAATATTTACTAATAATTATTTATTTTATGTTACTTATTAGTTGTCTTGACAATAATGAGTATTTTTTTTTCAAATGAGATACGGAAAAACTACCAAGTATCTATGTCCACCTTAGAATTTTTTGAGTAAGAAGAAAACTATATCAGTTTTACCAAACCCCTATTCATATGGTGCAACTTCTTGCAGGAAATTTATTTAAAATCAGTCTAAAATCTGGACATATTATGGACTAAAAATCCAAGAGATAATTTTCAATTTGAAAAATATATATAATCTGTAACTTGTACTAGTTTTACATAAAAATTGATGGAAAAAAAAAGAAATAGAAATTATATTTAGTATTCCACAAAAATGATACAATTTGATTAGAGAGTGAGGAAAATCTATATTCCACTAAACTTTAATCATAACATGAAAAAAGCTTCAGTTTAGGAAGAAAAGAAAAGTCCACTATATATTTTATTTCATTCCTCTAATTTATTTTACCCAAATCATCAATTTTGTTTTCTTGTCATTCATCCAATAGACCAATACTAACCATTCACACCAATATACACACACACAGTTGCATACTTGGATCATTATATAGTGTGAACAAACAAACAAAAAACATTATAAAAACTGTAAGTCACGTTTCCCCCAATTAAATAAGTAGCCTCCTCTTCCCCTTCTCTCTTTGTCTCTCTGTCTCTTTCTCTCTCCCTCTCAGAAACTCTTTCTCCAAAAATGGCAGAGCCAAGTTTCTATATCGGAGTCATAGGTAACACTTTCTTCTCTCACGTTTTGTGCTCATAATCTCTACATGTATATACACAAGTGCACGATCCAATACATAACTTATAAGTGTGTTGGTAACTATATGTGTTGACAAGTCCTCTTAATTTGTGTTTGACGCAGGAAATGTAATCTCCGTACTCTTCTTCCTCTCACCAGTGTAAGCTGTCTCTCTTTCTCTCTTGATTTTCCAAGAAGTAACAAAAAATGAGTTACATAATCTATAGTTTATTTTATTAGACTATTGATCGATCGGTCCAAATTAATATACGAAAATTTCATCAGGGAGACATTTTGGAAAATAGTGAAGCGGAGATCGACGGAGGAGTACAAAATCTTGCCGTATATTTGCACGTTGTTGGGATCATCGCTATGGACATATTACGGCATCGTCACTCCCGGAGAATATCTTGTCTCCACCGTTAATGGCTTTGGTGCTATCGTTGAAACCATCTACGTTTCACTTTTTCTCTTTTATGCCCCTCGACATCTCAAGGTTTTATTTCATTTTATTTTTATTTTCTGATTTATATATATATTGTATGATCGTTAGTGTTTCTTATATGATAACTGGTTAAAATCTGCATTTTATTTGATTCATTTTTATTCAGATTTGGATCTGATTATCAGATTTCTATGTCTCACTTTTAATTGATTCTTTTTTGTTCTCCCTAAAGTCAAGTCGATTAAAATATTTGATCCACTTGTTATAAGATATACTAGGGTGACTTGTAAAGTTATGTATTTCTACATTTTACCAAGTAGTTGTTGGTTCAAATAATTGAGCTTTATAGATATGTTAACAACAATGTGATTTTTTACAGTTAAATACAGTGGTAGTAGTTGCGATGTTGAACGTGTTTTTCCCAATCGCAGCGATTGTGGCCACGAGAAGTGCGTTTAAAGATGAGAAGATGCGTTCTCAATCGATAGGTTTCATATCTGCTGGTCTAAACATTATAATGTATGGTTCTCCTCTTTCTGCTATGGTAAGTTTATTCTTAATTTTACCCCATCTGTCAAAACATTTTATCATAGCGTTTTTGTATTTTATACCACCCACGTTTTGCAATAAAAAGATGTCATTGTTCATATCCACTTGCTCCTTTTTGGAATTGCATAAAATTAATTGATTAATATTTTTCTTTTTTGAGTATACTCCAAACAAAAACGACCCACCTGGTCTGAAGATTCAATTTTTGTATACAAACATAATGATTTTAATTTAACTGATTTGTATTTTTAGTAATCTTGTCTTTTACTTAGTGGAATTCGAATATCGTTTTTATAGTAGATTTATTTATTTTCAGAAATAAGGTCAGTGGTTATTTTTAGTGGTAGTTGTTCATTTAGTTTTATAAAGGTTATTTTCGTTCATACATGCAATCATCATCATATATAAACCAACAACCATTTTTAAGCACGTCTTCAAAAAATCGCAGTCACATATCAATTATATGAACTTGTACGTCACTAGATTTTTCCACATATAAAGTTGAATATAAACTTCACAAATTGTTTATTTATTTTTTCCAGTCTATAATGCACCACGACTTGGTACTTGGTAGGTCCATATCTTAGATAAAGACATGCGTATCATTTCATTTACAATAATTCGTGAGAGTATCTGTTATAATATAATAAACTGATTGATAGTGTTTAAATTTCTTAATATAATTTCTCAGAAAACAGTAGTGACGACAAAGAGCGTGAAATACATGCCGTTTTGGTTGTCGTTTTTCCTCTTCTTAAACGGCGCGATTTGGGCTGTCTATGCTTTACTCCAACACGACGTTTTCTTACTCGTAAGTTTTCACTGATTGGTTCAATTACGTAATTTTACGATTATACCCTCCTACTCTTTGGCTTTGGAATTATAGTAAAACAGGAAAACTCAATAAAGCTATTTTTTATCGACCCCATGTCTTTTTAATATTCCAACAATAACTCCAAAATATGTTGTTGTCTTTTTACACCCAATTAGACCCCATTAGTGTCAATGTCAATGTGTCACAGTTTATAAAAAATCATCTGAAGAGAAAATATCGATTTAATGCTTAATGATTTTTAAAAAAATTGTGGACTCCAAGTCTCCAACATCAACCAAATGATTTTTTTGGCGATTTTTTGTCGATTTTTTCCAAACAATTTTTTTTTTAAGAAAGTGTCTGGTTCAAAAATGCAACAACTACTATTTGTGGGGACATTTCCAAATGCGTCTTCTTGAGGTTTCGGATAGGCGTTGAGTGTAATTATGTTGTTGAGAAATAATGTATTTTTGATTGATTAATTAAATTAATTAATTAATTTTTGTGGTTAAATTGAGTAGGTGCCAAATGGAGTGGGGTTTGTGTTTGGGACAATGCAACTCATACTTTATGGAATTTACAGAAATGCCAAACCGGTTGGTTTAAACAACGGTTTAAGTGAGATTGCTCAAGATGAAGAGGAGGGTCTCACATCACGTGTTGTCCCTCTCCTCTCTTAAATCCATTTTTTATTCGTCAAGAGCTTGTTAGTTTGGGTCTTATAAATATAAATCTTTATATTTTTATTCCATTATTGTGGTGTGCGATTTTGTGTACGTTATATATGTGACAAAATTAGATTAATTTGAAGATATTACTTTAGGGGTTGTTATTGTATTGCATCTTTTGTTAAGCGAAGATTAGAGAATGGAGTGTTTACTATGTTTTGAGACTTAGTAACTTTTTGTTTGGGATAAGTTTTGAGATTCATTGACGGGTTGAACTAGTGAGGGATTGTTCGTAAAAAAACGTCGTGTGCGCTAGATTGCAAGTGAGCGTGTATAGACGGTTCGTTATTTGTGGAACAAACATATATTTCAGTTTCACTCATTAGTAATAGTAAGTATTACCTACGTTGTTACTCAGTCCTCAAGAGTCCTGAAGTGGGCCAAAATTACATCATATAATCTTCAGAGTCCGTTTGCATTCTTATAAGACTATTACTTTAGCAGCCTAAGCAAAACTACGGGTATGAAATGGAGCACCATCATATTTGCTATAGTACATCTTTGTTGTCTTTGATGTTGACAACAACTAAATAAGACATGGTAACAAAATAATTCCATAGTGAAAGTATCTTTGTTTTGTTGACGTTGGTTGTCATAATTTAGTGATAAATATTGTTGTCATTTATTGTTTAGGCCAACAACATAAAACAAATCGTTTTTTTTTTATAAGTAGGAACTGAAAGTAGATTTTATGCGTATAGTTTCCAACGAAGATGTCTATTTCTATTCACATCTCTTATTATAATTTTACATTACTTAAAAAAGGTTCCATTTTCTTAATAAAATGTTATATTATCAGAAATATTCGATGTATAACCATTTATCCAGATATTATACTAAAAATGTTTAAGATAAGATAGATATACTTAAAATGATGTTTTCACTCGATCCAAACATATATTATATTTTTTACTAGTTAACATATTTTATTTTTTACTTAATTAATCTCCAGCAGATAGAGATATAAGACAAAACATAACAAACGAAAATCATAATAATCGCCTGCGGCCTGCGACGACAAACGTTCCACTGGAACCAACCAATCAAATCCTCATAAAGACTTTGCTTTGTTTTTCAAAAGCAACTCTCTGAGCTCAGCTGGATCAATCTCAGCCGCACGATTGGAAGGTCTGTAGTATCCAGTGACTGGATCTGGTCCCCAAGCAGACTCTGCCTCTTGATCTAAAGCTCTATGGTCCATCTTCCCCACCATAACTCTGGTGGAACCTCCCTTACTCAATCCTGCTGCTGTCACGTTCTGCGATGTCGCTACGTAACTCCTTCTACACTCCAATAATAATACGACATTAAAGTATAAATTTATGAAGATTATACATTTTAAAAATCAGTAAAAGACTAAATAATATAACGAAAAATTAGAAAATAATTAAGGTGATAATATCATCATGCATGATTATCTTTAATAGATCTAAGTAATTACGTGTATGATAGATCAATCTTTAGCCTACACTCAAAACTATCAAATATTATTTTACTAGAATTATAAATTCTTTTTACATCAATAGCTATTTCATTATTTTGAATCAGTATATTAAAAGATGTTATACGATCTAAGCAAATAAAAGAGTGTGTAAATGTTTATATACGGTCACTTGAAAAAATGGGATAATTTCAAACATAAGTACCTTATGACAATGGAACGAGAAAGACTGCTGGATGCGGCGGAGCAAATAGATTTAACGGCACCGGCGAGTGAACGAGCGGCCATTTTATTATTTTATATATTAAATATTTATGATAAAGATATGACGATAGAGCTTAGCGTTTTAGCTACCACAAAAAAGATAGTTATGTTCTTCGAAGGCAAGTATCAAGCCTAAGAATAAAACAATCCTTTTTGAAGTAGCCGCCGGTGCTAAGCCGCCGTCAGATTCTCCGGTGATGGTTTTCGAGAGTCTTTAGGGTTTTGGGTTGGGCGCACTTATATTTGGGCTCATGGGCCTTATTGTGGGCCCTTTTCATAATTACTACCAAACTGAAATGTGAAAATAGTAGTAGTAAATTGCTAATCCAGTTTAGTGTTTGGTTTTTGTTTTTGTCGGTTTTAGAAAACCTATAAGGGAAGAAAACTGTTTTAGTCATGAAGGTGATTTGGTGATTGTATTGAAATTTGAAACAAATAAAAGAAGTAAAAAAACTAAACGATCTAGCAGTAAAAAAAGTGAAAAGTCTAGAAAAAGATCTGCGAATAAACAAGTAATTTTTGGTACAAAAGATCAGATGAGGTCGGTGAGATCTGAATGAAAATAATACACTAGAACGTGTCTCTTCGCAAAACAGACACACAGGTGTCGTCGTGCAAACAAACTCACCATCATCGTCTTATTATTTCAATATTTTCTAATTGGTTTCTTCATATCAGTGTAGTTACTAAGCTTCATAAGGGGTTTTAATAGAGTTTAGATAAGCACCAAAGAAGAGAATATAAGAGATGGGAAATAAAAGCAAAAACGTTCTCTCAACATAAAAAGTACATGATCTATTATTGTTGATAGAATAAATTACAAATGCATTTAGAATACATAAAAGTACATGGCCCTTTTTGTTTTTTTTCTCCCCACCACAAAACAAAGCCCTTTCACAAGTTGATCCGGACACCATAATCATGAAAAGATTAGTGAGATTCCAACAAGAGCTTTGAGTTACAGATACAGGTTATTATTAGAAGCGCCTAATATCCTTTGGTGGTTTGAAATTGATAGGATGAGTTTCTGGAGTTGCATTCTCATCTTCTTTCCACATCTTTATCGTCTTATCAGCCTCACATGTTACCAATCTCGATCCTGTGTTATCGTAACATGCTGCATATATACCCGCTTCACTCTCCAGTGAACCTGCCATTTGCCCAACCACATTCAATTAAGACCCCATTACTATTGCTTTTAAGACTCTAGCTAGAGGCGTTACATATCTAAACCTGCATCAACTTTTTCGGTTTCCCTAAAGCTCAATCATACACTTCTAACATTTGGGTCTTCACCAAGATTCAAACGAGACTTCTACATCTTACCATTACAAGCAGATCAAGAGTAAAGGACCATGAAAGCTATAAATGTACGTACCAGGCTGTACAATAGTTTCTGACTGCTGGAAACTGTGACCACTCTTCCAGTCCCAGAACCATATACTTCCATTATCACCTTCATTCACACATAGATAGAATAGTTTTAGTTAAAAATGATGATGTCTCACCCATTTAACTAGTATCAAAGAAAAACAATCACAAGAAAGAAAGGAATCAGAAATGAATTTATTACCTCCAGTGACCATTACACCATCCTCGTTTACAGCCATTGCATTAATTATGGTTTTCTGTTGCGAACTTTTCCATGGAAAAAAAGACAACATTGTTCAAACACATCAATTGCAAATTTATAATGACAGCTCTTATTTCAAAATCACTGGAGATGCAAAAAATATATTTATCTAGCCGAGACTTACAGCATGTTGTGGCAAAACTCTCCCTTTGGAAGGCTAAATTTCTTGATGTTGTCAGCTGATGCAGAAGCAAAAGCATTCCTAAAATGAAAAATAAAGAGATAACATAAAGGAAAAATTTAGGTGCAAAGACTTCGCTGTTGGAAAGATAAAGTGGATTCAACACGACTACACATACTCTTTAGGATGGAGGGTCATTGCTCGGACAGACTTCTTATGATGTGTTAGCGTTGACATCGTTTTTCCTGCATATAATAATACAGCATTATTCAAATGAAACCATATACTTGCAGCAACTGATAATCAAATGAGGGATTTTAAAAATATGGATTTTAAGTCCAAAAATGGTTAAAATGATAATATATACCATATCGAAGGTCCCAAAATTTAATGGTTGTGTCATGGGATCCGGTGACAACTTGTGGATCCTGCAACATCACAGATCAAAGTGAGTTCCAGTTACTATTATAAGAAGATTCAGAACCATATCAACAAGTCCATATGAAAAGAGACGTACTGTTGGACGCGTGAAAACGGAACAAACAGTGTTGTCATGTCCAGAGAGTGCAAAAATTTGCATCTTGGTACGAATATCCCACACCTGCAAATAAGCAAACATGGACTTTTAAACTACAAATTCAGCGAAGGTATTATATTTGGTAACTAAAGAAGGATATAAATATATTTGCTTACCCTGCAGACAGAGTCTCGCCCCCCTGTTAATAAAACATCCAAAGTTGGGTGAAGAGCTAAGCAATAGACACCACTCAAGTGACCATGATAAGATCGGATAACCTATCAAAGCAAAATTACAAGAGCATTTAGCATTAGATATGAGAAGTTCAGATAAGGAAGAGAATAGATTTGTTACCTTATTCTGCTCAAGGTCCCAGCATTTGACTTGCTTGTCATCACCAGCAGAGAACATATAGGTATGTCGATTGCTTACAGCAAGGCCTGTAACAAAATTCAAACAAAAGAGCCCAAACTTGTAACTTGTTCTGAGAGTGTTATTTATTGAAATACCTAACAAATAAACGAGACAAAATTCAAGAGGCTAACCTCGTACTTGCTCAATATGCCCAGTAAGTGTTAGCTTCAGAACTCCAGTTGCTACATCCCATATCTAGTGAATAAAACACAAGCAAGAAATTCAGCAAACATACCACAGTCAGAACTGCTTCTACAATCGCTAAAGTAGTGGAGTTTTGACAATGCACTAAAGTAAGTTCCAATAACTACCCATAGAGTGGAAGTCTTGTATCATGATTTACGCGATTAACAAGAAAACAGATTCGGAAAAATACAAATACAATTCATATTGAATAAGCAATCATCTCTGCTACCTTGATGGTACGATCAGCTGAACCAGTACAAAACCATTCGTTACTCGGGTCAAACGCAACAGATCTGACCCAACCCAAGTGCCCCTGAATGACCTGTGAAAAGAATAATTAATCATAAGTTAAGTAACTCCTCAAATGAGAGTTTTTTGGAGACCAACAAAAGGCCAAAATCAGTATGATGTAGCAACAGTGCTGAGCCACGGATTTTACCCTGTAATTCTTCCATGGTGCATGCCACTCTGGTCGGGGCCATCTACTCGGTATTCTCTCCATTAATGCAGCAGTTGACAGATTTCTGTAACACGCAGAGAGGAACACAACAACAAAAAAGGAATCAGAATTAGAAACTAGATTATAAGTACAAGCTAAAAGATATTCAGGTTGGGGGAAGTCTAGTTTGCACAGCCCTTCTACCTACACCACCTAGGGCTGTATTGCAATCAAAATGAAGAAGAAAAGTAAAGATGAGGACGAGAAAAAAAACCTTTGATACGAGGATACATTTGCAGGTATAATGGTGGTGCTTTTCCCTGAGGAACCTATATTGTTCCTACATTTCGAGAACCAAATTCTTTTATGAGCAACCTCATGATAAAGTAGAACATCAATTAGTATTCAGATCAACGAAACCAACAGCTAAAGGTAATACTTACAAGCCTTTAGGCTGTAAAGTTGGACCAACAACAAGAGCACTCTCTGTACCCTTTTGCGTACTCTTGGACCCTTCAGGACCTGCAGAAATTCATCGAGCAGACGAAGGTTAGCTCTTCCAATACAACAAGAATGCAATGCTTAAACGAAATTCAAATAGCAAACAAGAAACTAGTTTTACTGATATGAAAAACACCTGCTAGGGCAAGAGCATTTGAAGGTCCTGGCTGCTCATTGCTGCGGTCAGGTTGACGTGGAGGTTGACTCACAGGTTCTAAACCTCCAAACGCAACTTTCATCTGCACAAAGAGAACTTCTAAAATCAGAGAGTTTAACCAAATCAATCATCTTTACTATTATTGGGTAGGGAAACTATAAACTTGAACAAATCAGGAAACCTGAATAAACCTAAAGTTCAAAGCTTTAAAGCCAATCCAATCAATAGACAATAAAAGCGAATAATTGAAATAAATTTCTAAAGATTTGGTAAGAGAGACTCTCAATGTTTTACCTTATGGCTGAGACGAATCTTCTTGCTGCAAAATTTGAAAAAAAAAACGAAGAAATTTTATAAATTTGTCAAGAAAACGAAGATTGGAATCGAAAATTGGGGATCGAAGAAGACTAACGCTTCTGGGTCAGGAGGAGCGAATTGGCCATGGACGGGAGAGAAAATTTCAAGTGATCGTTTGAGGGATTTGAGACTGAGCTTTTTCAGTGACTGTGCTTCGATGGGTTCGATCTCCGTCGTCGGAGCCGGCATTGTTCTTCGTTTAGGGTTTACAGAGATAGAGAGAAAGAGAAATGAAGTGAAAATGAGAGGTTATCTTAAATATTAAGTTTATTTATTTATTTTAACTCTTTCAATAACTGTTGAGTTTATTTATTTACTTTTAAAGGAAACTAACTTATTTTACCTGAAAAGTTAATTTATTTCTCACTCATATTCACTAAATCTACTTGATATTAAATTTTTATCTATTTTATTTCTAGTTTGTTACAATCAATTTTTAAGACTTTCAATTAATTTTTTTTCTTAAACGTCCAAAGAAGACACATTATGCTTTTGTTTTCGTTAAAGGACCCGAAATTTATGTTTTTAAATTTAATTTTTAACCTTATTTCGTTAACACAATGACTATTATGTTTACATGGTTGAATCTAATTATCTTTATAATAGTTTGATCATTCTCAACTTTTGTAAAAGCTTTTTTAAGATACATAAAGAAATAGAGGTTTCGATACCATAAATAATGTGGTCCAGATCAAAACCGAAAAACATGATAAAAAAATAGGTTTAAATACCATAAACTGTGATCCTGATCAAAACCGAGATAGATGGTGAATGAATGTTGCTTTTGATACCACAAAGTGGTCCGAATCAAAAGCAAGATGATGGCTCTGATACTAATAGGTAACAGTAAAATAGTTTTACATTAATATAT